CTCAAATCAATTTTTTTTTTCTTTTTCATGACCAGTAAGGGGATCGCAACCCTTGGCTTGGTGTCACCCGCACCATATCGAGTAACTAAGGTAAAGCCACAGAAGAATTTTTCACAGCAGGGAGAGATCAATGAAAGCAGCCCTTTAGGAAGATTAACTGGCAGTGCTGTGCATGCAGGACGAATTGGAGGGAAGAGGTTAGAGACTGAGACACAAACTAGAAAAGCACCGTAACAATGCAGGCATCAGCTGGTAACCAAAGGACCACAGAGATGGTGGCAGGAATGGCAACGACAGGGGAGCAATAGTGGGGGAGCGACACGCAGGACTTGGGATGTTATTTGCTTTGAGAGGTGAGGGAAAGAGAGGAGTTAAAGACAATTCTGAGACTAGAGTCTCTGGTAATTGAGAGGATGGATGACAGAAATAATGTCACAAGGAGCCTAATTTTTGAGGAAAGACATTTAGTGGTTTTTTGTTGTTGTTGTACCAGTTTTAAAAGATGACTGGTACTGGGATCTTAACCCTTGACTTGGTGTCGTCGGCACCACGCTCTCCCAAGTGAGCCATGGGCTGGCCCCTGAGGAAAGACACTTAGTTTATACGGTGCGTGTTGAGGCTGGACAATGAGGAATATATAACTAGTGCTGTAAGCAGTGGCATGTGAGAGCCTGGCATTTGGGAGATTGGTCAGAGCCCAAGATTGACTGTTAAAATATCAAAGTGGTTTTGGACATATTAGTAAACAAAGGAATATATAACTAGTGCTGTAAGCAGTGGCATGTGAGAGCCTGGCATTTGGGAGACTGGTCAGAGCCCAAGATTGACTGTTAAAATATCAAAGTGGTTTTGGACATATTAGTAAACAACACTGCTCCGGCCCAGCCACCCACCCTCAAGAATCTCCCAGAATCCTCCTGGTCTCATGGGATTCAGCAATATTTTAGGACCTCTTGGGTAATGCCTGGCACAGCAGGGATGGCCCAACTCTGCTTTAGCACTGTGGGCAATAGCATCCATTCTGATGAGCTGATGTCTGTACCACTGGCTTCATCTTTGGAGGGAAGAGGACTGAAACGCAGGAGCCCCAAATCTGAGAAGGCACTCACGTAGCATTTACTTATTCTGAAGAAATCACCCGAAGATCCAGCAGGGAGATACATGGGTGTAGAGGCTTAGAAATCTTGTTTCCTATTTGATTATTAGATAGGGTTTTTAGGTAATGCATGCATGGGACAAAAGTCCTCGGATAGAAGGCGAGAGCCTACAGCTAGGGGACAAGAGCCCACCAGATCAATTCTAATCAAGTATATGTTGATTCTCAGTTGATTTTTAGCATAGGGTTTTTAGGTAATGCGTGTATGGGACAAAAGTCCTCGGACAGGAGGCGAGAGCTTACAGCTAGGGGGGCAAGAGCCCACCGAATCAATTCTAATCACTGTTCAGGTAAGGGATTATATACACTGATTGTTAATATAACGGGTTCATTGGAAGATTTTGTGAAAAGGAAACTCACAGAGTTTGAAACCTTTGATGTGAACAAGAACTGAAACAGAACAAGGATTGTTCTGTGGGAAATAACATTTAATACAACAAAGCTTAAATGTTGGGAAAACTTGTGAGTTAAGATTTCCAAGGACGTTTTGCTAGATTAGTTGGTACATGGGGTTTTCTCCACATTTTGCTTTAAGCTGTTTCTGTGAGTTTTTCAAGAAGTCAGGCACTTTCATAATTGTTTTATTGTTTCTCTTGCATGTTATTTAGCTTAAATTTATGACTCGTTTGTTGGTATATTGTTTAAACTACTTTGAACCATGCATCCTTACATAAAGATTGTTACATAGCCAATTTCTGTATGTTCTTACTATTATTGATTAACCATCTGCTCTTTTCCTGTAATTTCCTTGTCTTTTCAATAAAAACTGAAGCAAAAACCGACTCGGGGCTGCTTTCCATTCTCTCCTTCTAACAGAGGAGCTGCTGAGATGCGGCCCCTTCGAGCTCTCACTGCATTCATGTTGCTTTGAGTCATCTTTTTTCGTCTCTTTTACACAGTGAGAGGTGTGACATACGGGTCTATTAGACTTATGGGAGACACTGAGGATGGCTGATCAGTAAGAAGGCCGTGCCGCCATGGAGCGCCCACAGCAGTTACATAGCTAACAGAATGTAAATCACTTTCATGTATGGCCCTTCAACCAGCTAATGTAGATCATTTTCACGTGGAGTCCTGCTTTTCCCTGGGACATGCCTTTCCTTGGGTAATGGCCTTGGCCTTGGCCCAGGGAGGAGGGAGGGAATAGGGCTATATCCAGCATCCACCCTACAGGGGGGCACTGGCTTTAAATATTTTTAGTATCTCCCCATTTCAGGACCAGAGACACCTATCTTAGAGTTATAGTAAAGAGGATGCCACAAGAGAAGATGAAAAGGAAAGAGGGAAGGGGGCTAAAAGAAAAGCAAATGGCTGAAGACAGGACCTTAATTAAGACAACAGCATACCCACAAATACGTTTAATCAATTATTTTCAATTTAAAAAAAAGAAAATAGCATAAAAAAGAAAAGGAAAAATTGCATGAATGTTCATAGCAAAATTATTCATAATAGCCAAGTGGAAACAACTCAAATGTCCATCGACTGAGGCATGGATAAACACTGTGTCATATTCACACAATGGAGTTTTATTCACTCATAAAGAGGAGTGAAGTATTGATACATGCTACACCATGTAGCATGAAAACACTATGCTAAGTAAAAGAAGACAGACACAAAAGGCTGCACATCGTATGACAACATTTACACTTATATGAAGTGCTTAGAATAGGAAAACCTATAGAGACAAAGTAGATCAGTGGTGGCCCGGGAATGGAGAAGGCAGGAAATGGGGAGAGACAGCTGATGGCTATGGGGTGACCATGCTGAATTCTACCTGGGACCTGTGCTCCTGGGAAGCAGTGCAGGTTAAAGAAATCCCCCCACCCACCCCTTTGTGTCCTGGAATACCGCTTACTGCAAAGAACCACCCTTCCTCATATGACTCACTGGTGCCCCCCTTGTTTACCTATAACAAGAACAGACACAGACCCTTCAAATTCCCATTCTTTGCCCCACAAGGAATTAGCCCAACTGCTAATCCCGACTGATGACTCAGAACAAAATGCTTGTTAACCAAACTTTAAGCTTCTCTCCTCCAGGCCCCTGAACTTTGGCCCCCCCTCCCTCAGCCTGAGCCAGCACATGATCCCTCCGGAGCACAGGCTGGCCTCAGCATAAAATATTCTCTCATCTCCTCTCTGATCCGCCACCTCCCATCCCGTTCCTTACACCCGGTTCTTTCTAGTTTTGTTTGCTCCTCTCTATACAAGAAAAACTCTGTTTGCCTGTCTTCTCCATTTTACAATAGACTCCTTCCCCCTATTGCTACAGTCCCTTTCCTCCCTTTGCAAAAATCCTTTCAAATAAAGTCTCTCCTTACTAAGTATGAATTTGTCTTTTTTTTTTTTTTAACAGGGGTTTCTTTTTGGGGTGATGAAAATATTCTAAAATTGATTATGGTAGCACAAGTCTATGAGTATACTAAAAATCACTGAATTGCATGCTTTAGGTGAATTTTACAGTATGTGGATTACAACTCAGTAAAGCTGCTTATTTCTTCTTTTACTTTTTTTTTTTTAGCAGTTTTCAAAGCTGTTACTTAAAAAAAGAAAGAATAAAGGAAGAAAAAAATAAGTTAACAAACAGGACAAGAAATTAATAAAAATAATACAGTGTCCCAATGCCAAGATGGAAGTCTCAAGGACAAATTGGTCAGCAGTGCTAAATCATACAGACTTCAAATAAAATTAGAAAAGGAGAGATAGGGCCGGCCCGTGGCTCACTCGGGAGAGTGCGGTGCTGACAACACCAAGGCCCCGGGTTCGGATCCTATATAGGGATGGCTGGTTTGCTCACTGGCTGAGCGTGGTGCTGACAACACCAAGTCAAGGGTTAAGATCCCCTTACCGGTCATCTTTTTTTTTAAAAGACTGGAGTTTTTGTTTGTGTGTTTGTTTTTGTTTTTAAGATAAAGGAGACAAGTGCATGTTCAAGTAAGAGATGAAAAAGAGGTTTTATGACATTTTTACTAACTTGTTTTCTTGATGTCTTCTGTTTGTTAGCCTGAGTGTTTTCCTGAATCTAAAACTCTCACCCCACTGCAAATGCACTGTGTCCTTTGAATGGTTTCTACCACCAAATTATGCATAAGTTAGCACTCAGTAAATTCTTTTGGTTGTTTTCTGGTTCAAAAAAGTTACCCTATTTTTTAATGTTTGAAGAAGAAACAAAGGAATTGTTGAGGAAGAGAAGTATACAAATATTATAGGCACTTTTCACACATACCAGAGAGATAAGAATAATGCCTGTAAAGCTGGTGGAAAAGTCATGTTGTTTGTGGCAGCTGTGAGCCAGCTACTGAGGGCTGGTCTTCCATGCGGGATGGTTTCTCTGATGTGAAGACACGTCATTCATTCCAACCGTTTATTATAAACAAAACACACTATCGCCCTGGGGTCTCGCCCAGAACAGATCCAAAACTGAATGGAACACATCACACCTTTTGCTGGATCTCCCTAAATGCAAACTGAAGAGACTCATGGCAGAGCCATGATAAGAGCGGCCGAGCAATGCCTGGCTTTCACACCTCGTGTTGTTACTGGTGTTAGCGGAGGGGGTCTCTTCCCCTCCTTTGTATGTAGAGACCCTCCTCTGTGAACCCTTCCCCACTCCCCACAGAAGTAGTGACCACCTTCGCTAAACTGGGGAGCACTTTCCACATTGTGTCAGAAGCTATTGGTGCATCTGTCTCCCTTTCTACACTGTGAGCTTCTCAACAGGAGGGACTGACCTTTATTCATCCTCATTAAAGCCCAGTAGCTGGCTATGGTAATAGTCACATTTTATTGAACAAATGGACGGATGGAGGAATGTGGCAGAGCACTGTGAGATTGTAGCTGCCGACATGATTGCACCCTGGTGTGCTTGTTCTGGGCCGAAGGTGTGGTTTGCTTTGACCTCACTGTCCTTTTTATGGATTCCGTCTCAGCAGCTGAAAGAACACAATGGAACAGTGTGCCTTTCAGCAAACAGAGTGAGCAATGGAAAGTGCAAAGCATCAACCCCGAACGCATGCAATGGCATGCTGAATGCGATTACAAATGAAGAGAAGTGCTTATTTCCACTGAAATAGGGTGAAATGCTCTGGAAAGGATTGTTTTGCTCCAGTTCTGGGTGTCCATGTTGGTAAAGCTAGAATGCCCAGGCTCAGCATGCCCCCTGTTGGTCTTAAACCAACCAGCATTTCGTAAAAAGAGGAAGGGTGAGAGAAACTTGTTGATGCAGATATTTCTCTAACATAGGCATGCAAAAATTCTCTGTGAAGGAGGCATCAAATGAGTCAGAGATGGTCTGTCCCTGGGACAAAACCTGACTCATCCACAAATACTGACATTCCTTTTTTAAAAAGTAGAATAGAAATATTTTCCTGATGGGAAAGCCAGAATGGCATGGATCTAATTCATTTAAGCAAGCTTATGACAACAAAAACCAATCATCCACTAAAATTCCTCTTCAGCAACTCCCCCCCACACACTGAAGTTTAAATTGTAATCTGTAACTGTACATTGACAGGGAACTGGTTAAATAAGTATACTACATTCATACATTGGAAAACAAGGCAGTTCTATATGTACTAATATGGAACAATCTCTAAGATAGATTAATAACTGAAAAAAGAAAGCAAAGTACTGAAATATATATATATATATTTGCATATGTGCAGAAATTTTCTATAGAAGATTCCATTAGAAAACAGTAACAATTGTTGTCTCCTGGGAGGCAAACTAGTTGCTGGAGACAAGGGTAGAAATAAAACCTCTTTCCACTTTATATTTTGTGCGTGCTATTTGCAATTTGTGTCTTGTGTGTCACCTGTTAATCAATTTTTAAAATGGCATGTTGCTGATAATACCAAGGTCAAGGGTTCAGATCACCAAACATGCCATCCACACACACACACACACACACACACACACACACACACACACACACACACACACACAAATTCTTGTAAATGTAATTTAAATGTAAGAACATTATTATGAAAGTCCAATAAGGTTCTCTACTCTTCTTTTTTCTAAAAGCTTTACAGGGCTACCTGGCTAACTCAGTTGGTTACTGTGTTGTGCTGATAATGCCAAGGTCCGGGGTTCAATACCTGTATTGCCCAGGCAAAAACAACAACAACAAAAAACCCTTTATCAATCATCAATAGAAGGAACTTAAATTGCTACATTGCTTAAATTTCTCTTTAATTCTAAAATGAGTTGGTAATCTGCCAGTTCTAGCAGCTATTTGTATATATATGATTTTATATACCAGTTCATTCTACCTGAACCTCAAATGAGAAAGCCACTTGTTTCTGAGGAAACAGCTATAGAAGTATTAAGGAATATATTTTACTCAATAGTTGTTAGGGCACTATCCCAGACGCTGAGCTCCTTTCTAGTTTGGTGGCTTCTCTGATTGGACTGATGAGGCCTGAGGTCCCCACAGAGCAGCTTTTCACTCCTCTTAATGATAATGGACGCCATACTAGAAGTGACCTTTGGCTGAGACCATCATCCATCCAGCTGGGGAAACCCAAATTTGGCTTCCTAAGCAGGGAAGAGGTTTGCAGCTTTTCTGTGGGAAAGGGAGCTGGTCTGTCTCCAGGGGACTCACAGCCCAGTGCTGGGCTAGAGAGAAAGTGGGGGAGGATGGGCAGCCTCTCTTTCTCTGGACTTCTGCACCAATGACCCTCCTTGGGTTTAGTTAACTCTCAGGCCAGCAGGCTCAAAATCAGCACTTGTGGGGTGGCCATGGCTGACCATCTCCCTGTCCCAGTGAGAGGCACAGAGTGCTAAGGTGAAAAGAGCCAGGAGCAGGAGTCCAGGGACCTGGGTTCAAGTGCCAATGTCAACACTAACCTGCGAGTGACTCTGGCAAGTCACCTGTCTTCTGCAGGCCCTCTTTTTCCTATCTGTCAAGTGAGGAGGTGGATTAGGTAACCTCTCTGATTGTTTACCTAACAACTGATTCCCAGTCTCTGGGATCTAGAGAGATGAATGGACTCACAGCTCTTGCTTTCTGGGATTAGTGTCAGTGAGACATCCGAAGCTGGCAGGGGAATCGCAGAGAAAGGTGACTTTTAGAGAGAGGTGAGTAAAAGGCTTTACTTTCTGTTTTATTGCCCATCTTAATCCTTCTCTTTAAGACAATCCTAAGAGGAACCTAGAAGACCTTCGCAGTCCCTCACCACCCGTCACCCTAATTTAAGTTCTCTTCCTTCCCTTCCTCAAACACCCCCTCGAGCTTTTAGAACAGTGGATGGTGACTTTGGGGGAGAGAGGTGACTTTGGGGGAGGGAGGTGAATGAGAAGTCCTTTCGAAAAGATTGTGGAGGGCAAGGATCCTTTCGCTCTCCAAAACTAGGCATAGGCAAATACAATATTGTGCCTATAATTTCAGAATTTCATGGTCCGCCTGCCCCTCAGCCCTAGATCTTAAAAGGCTGAAGGGAGTTTGCGGATGAGAAAAGAAACAAACAAAAACACGGGAGGTAAATGAGCGACACTTTTAGGACCTGATTCCTTCCTCCAGCTCACATTCCCCCGCCCGGCCCGCGCCCGCCGCGCCCAGAGGAGGCCCCAGTCTCCGGCTCCAAGTATTCCAACCATCCCGGGAAGGGTGGGGCGCTAGGCCTTGGGTCTCCCCCGCCCCCCCCCACCGCCCCGTCGGTCTCCCCTTCGGCCCCGGTCCCTCCCTTTCTGGGGTGGGGCCAGCCAATAGGCGCCGAGGCTCCGGGGTTTGGCCTGGGAGCCGGGGAGCAGACCAAGCCCCGGCCCGGTAGTTCTGGCCGCCGTCCCGGTGCGCACGGACGTGGCTCGAGTTTCCTCCGCTCTCCGCTCTCGCTCGCTCGCCCCCCTCCCGCTCCTCCTTCTCTCCGGGTCTCCCTCTCCGGCTCCAGCTCCACTCGGCCGGCCCCGCACGGCTCCGGGTAGCCATGGAGGACGTCACGCTCCACATCGTCGAGCGGCCGCTTCCCGGGTACCCCGACGCCGAGGGCCCGGAGCCCTCCCC